GTGTCCAGGTGTTGTATGATGCTGAAGATTTCCTGCGTCTGGAGGGGGTGATCTGGACATTCTGTGCAAGCTGAGTGTTATTCTGTCATGGAACTTGAATGTTATTTGTCTTTACTTTTGTTTTATTCACAACCTACAGTTTTAAAATGGCACAAAACTCCAGAGAGGCTGAGCTTATTTGTTCTGTTCTATTATCTTATAATTGGAAAAATTATTGTTCTGTAGATAACAAGTTGATTTCTTGAGATTCTTGAGTTCATACGCCACTGCATGTTGTGTGTTGTTATACTTGACTGTATACTGCCTTGCTTTTGAACTTCTCGAATCTGTTTGGTCACATGGAACAAGGTCTCTGGATGTTGTGTCTAATCTGAAAGTACTGAAGGGCTCAAATGACCATTAAGTTACATCGTCTATTACATTTTCATGAAATATTAAGAGAAATTAATAAAACTGCCAAGGCCTGTACCACAGCGATGAGAAGTGAATATTCATGGCAAGTGGATCTTTGCACTGGCTGTAATTTACATTTACATTAACATTTATTCATTTAGCAGGTTTTTTTCCAAAGCGACTTACAAATGAGGATAAGTTCTAGCTGTGGACTTCATGTGCCCAATAGAGTTTTGCAGACACATCTGCATGCCCACCACATAGACACACACATACACATACTGTACATCCAGCTCTTTTAAGTTCAGAAGAGTTGGAGTTTTTTCTACACAGATGCCCATCATGGGGACATCAGACCCATGCTGTTGTATCCTTTGAAGAGAATTGAGTTCAGCTCCTGCCCTCTCGAGTGGAAGATGGAACGTCATATGCCATCAAAGGACGAGTTATGACAAAAGACCCTTTGGTTGCATGGAAGATTGGAAAGTCTGGCGTCAGCATGGTCTCTGTGGTATTTTTGTTCCAGGAACTGCAGCGAGGTCACGGGACGCTTCATGCTTCTGAGAGCCTCCTCAAGCAAACACAATTTAGCATGGTGTCAGGGTCTGGGGCACAAAGCTGGACGGATTAAAGGACTGTCATACTATGTCTCCTATGACAGGATAACAAGCTGAGTCCCCCAAAGGCCCCCAAGAGACACTGCTGCTTCAGGAAGGATGGTGCATACACACAAACACACATACACAAGGGTTTGTCATATTTCTACATAAATATTATAAATACAAAGGAAACACGAATGATGATATGATCATGTGTGACCTTTGGTCCATTTAAAAGGATGCTTTTATTCTGTTATTTCTAACATCATTAATTTAATTTAATAATTTAATGAATTAATAATAATATAATTTAATTATATATATATATATATATATATATATATATATATATATATATATATATATATATATATATATATATATATATATATAAACATATCTGTTATTATTTGCATGTACATTAAAATGTATTTTAGTACCTATATCACTCTAAGTGTTTATGTGTTATTGTCCTTAAGAAGAATAATGGAGAATAATGGAGCGTTGCTTAAGAAATTTAATTTGAGAAAATTTTATTAGCATAGAGCATCCTGGCCAATGTAGCTCTAACTATCTTCATCTTTACATTTCATTGATGCCGGAGATCCAATTACAGCTAGTCTAAGTTCCCAAAATAAAAGACAGATTGTAATTTTTATTGTATACCCTTCATTAAAACTGTCAGCAGATATTTTATGTCATGGCTGTCATCATTTCTGACTGGAAGCTATTATTTTCTTACATCGGAACAGCTCTGACAATATAAAATTGAATCAAAGATCGTCATACTATATAACATTAGTATGTAACCATGACAACAAAAATATGTAATTTAAACTGATTCACTATTGTGCTGCTACATAAAAATAAGATGAATGAAAGACATGGTTTGTGGAAAGGACTGATTTATAAACAGTACAGTGTGATTTAAATAAAAGTGACAAGAAGAGTGCAAGAAAACTCTTTCTAAGTTGTAACCATAACAACAACTATACCTTGATACAAATTGATTTGTGGGTTGTGAAGGAATACAACATGACAGGCTGTGGAAAATACTCTACAACAGGGTAGTGTGATCCCACCCCAAAGGGTTGGAAAACTGTTACAAAGCGCTGACAATGGAGACTCCATCCATAAATGGTATATAAATGTCTCCTTAGAGAAAACCTTGATTATGTTTTCTTTGATAAATAACATGTTTAATCAATTTATTATTAGAATTAGATGATGTGGTGCATCAGAAGGAAGATGCAGGACGATAGCCTAGGTACATTTAAAAATATATAAATATATACTATACATTTATGGTTTCTTAAAGCTGAGATGTCAAAGTGCGTCATAGGCTGAAACGTTATTTTGAGCAAAAAACAATTTTTCTTCTTTTTCGCTTACTTGCTGGAGTTCAGCCACAGTGACATCTGACAGGTTTTTGCATCTGACATGATTATGCTGATTTTAAGTAAAGTAGGATTTAAGTAAAGCGTTACTTAAACTGGTAAAGCTACAGAAGCTCATCTAGACCTCAACTGATCACCACTTTGCTGTCAGTAATAATTTTCAGTCAGATCATGGAGATAGACATACGTTAAGTTCCACCATAATGTAGCAGCTTAATATATATAAAACCAAAAATTAGTTCGAGTAAAATTGAGTGAAATTATTGTCATTGTTGAATTTAAACTTCCATGCTAGCTTTATAATAAAGGAAATTTTAATAGATATTTTGTAGTAGTGGATGTGTTCGTGGATTTAAATCATTTTTATTACAAATAAGCTTTGGACTAATTCACATGATTCATAAACCCCAAATTCTTCATAATTATCACCCACTTCCAGGATTATTACTGCCTTTCTGTGGCCTCGATCATGAAGACAACTCTTGCTATTTGTGCTACTTAAGAGCAATTATTCATTCATTTATTCATCTTCCGTAACCACTTTATCCTAAGGGAATTTATCCAAACGAAGTTATCGCACCATTATCCACTGGTGAAATGCTGGTAGAAGGCAATGCAGCAGAATTTACATGCCAAAGTACTTCAGCTCTTAACAAATTAACGACAGCTAATTTCTACTCAACTCCTGCAATAATCTCATTCAGCGAGTACATATGGGTCTCGTTTAAACAAAGACAGATGGACAGTCATTAAACGGAGATCATTTCAGTTAGGCATCGCATAACCATGAGCACTGTGCACTCATTTTCTGAGAAACAGATGACCCTGGAACTGCACCCCCCCACCCCCCACCCCCACCCCCACCCCATGACACCTTGTTAGCTTCAGAGATGCTAAAAAAGGAACGGTGCGAGAGAATTAGGGAAACCGGCTCTTGTTTGTGCAGCACTGTTCCCGAAGGATGTGGGCAAGGGTGAAGAGGTTAATAAGATCGAGTTGTACCACTGAAAGTCTCCATGGAAACTGTCTTGGTGTCACAATCATGCGGTGATAAAGACATGTTTACATATTGTAAATTATGAAACAAGGCATGCCTTGTCTCACTTTGAGGAAAAAACTACACAAAGAGTTTGTTCTCTTGTTAAATGATTACTTGTTAAACTGATGATCATGTCAGAGATGCAGCTAAAAGAGGCGCTAAAGTATTAGTCACTAAAATGTCTAATGAATGAATACTTACATGGTGACATTTTCTAAGCGTGTTATTGTAAAGCACATAATTACTGTAAGGTATTTCTATAGTGTGTGAATGTGAAAGGGCAAGAAACAAACTGCTTTTTTAAACAACAGTGTAAGAGCTGGAGATTGAACTCAAACACTGAAGCACTCAAGAAAAAAATGCAATCTGGAGTGAAGAAAGCCTCAAGTGAAAATAGATTGAAAAAAAAAAAGCATCTTTCAGCTTTTTCTCACACATCTGCCACAAATGGTAAGTACTCTCAGTAGTATGAAATATTGGTAACCATTTTATTAAATGTGATTCACAGAAAGGACAAGGAGTCTTGGAGCAATCACTAGGTCCATAGCTGTGTCTCAAATTGCATGCACATGTACTTAAAAGGAAATTGGGTGAATTCAAGTCTCTTCTTGAACAATCTTGGTAGCAAATCCCAGACGACATTAGCAGAAATCAACCAGTTGTTATATGTGTAATATAATTCCCTTAATATGTATTTATAATATTTAAAAATACAAAAATGCCATTGTATTGCTTTATGGACAAAATACAGCTTTTTAAGTATATTTATTAAATGATAAATGTTCGACTTATTTAACTGATATAATGGTATATACTGTATAAAGTATACAAGTATACAAAATATGTATTTTTAACATGATAAACCTTGGTATGCATAGTTATCGATTACATGTAAAATTATTTAAATGTTTGTAAAAACAATTGAAAATTAGGATATACAATATGGCCAAAAGTGGACACCTGACCATCACACCCATATGTGGTTCTTCCCCAAACTGGTGCCACAAAGTTGGAAGCACATAATCGTATAGGATGTCTTTGTATGCTATAGCATTAAGATTTCTCTTCACTGGAACTAAGAGGCCCAGTCATATTCCAGCATGACAATGCCTCTGTGTACAAAAACGAGGTTTATAAAGACATGGTTTGCCAAGGTTGGAGTGGAAGAACTTGAGTGGCCTGCACAGAGTCCTGACCTCAACCCCACCAAACACCTTTGGGATGAACTGGAACGCTGACTGCACCCCAGGGCCTTTTCACCCAACATCAGTGCCTGACCTCACTAATGCTCTTGTGGCTGAATGATCACAAATCCCCACAACCACGCTTCAAAATCTAGTGGAAACCCTTCCCAGAAGAGTGAAGGTTATTATAACAGCAAAGGGATACTAAATCTGGAATGTGATGTTCAACAAGTGCATATCAGTGTGATTTACATTTATGGCATTTGGCAGATGCCCTTATCCAGAGTGACTTATAGTTATCTCATTTATACAACTGAGCAGCTGAGGGTTAAGGGCCTCACTAAAGGTGATGTCCTTGGAGTCACTCAAGGGCACAACAATGGCAGTTTGGCATTGCTGAGATTTGAATTCACAACCTTCTGATCAGAAGGCCAACATTTTAACCACTGAGCCAACATTGCTTGTGATGGTCAAGTGCCCATATATTTTTGGCTGTATAGTATAGATGAGCCATCTTGTAGAAATAGTGAAATTGCCTTTGCAAAAATTTGCATCTAATGTGCATTCTTATTCATACACAAGTCATGTAGGTCAAGCTTAGTTTTGTAAATTTAATTTAAATTTAAATAAAAAGAATACATACACATACATTTAACGTTCAATATACGGCCAACATTTTCACTCTGTATTTCTCTGTGAGCACCCAATCACCGTATCAACAAAAAGTGTAATAATATCAGTCGGACATGCCCTTTCCACAGGATGAGAGACTTCTTGTTTGAGGGAAGTGAGGTGAAAATGTGACACCCCTGGCATTTCTGTAGACACGTCTCAAATCACAGATAGTCACTCTAAAAGGCCACTTGGTTGACCATGCTGGACAGTGTCATGATAGGCACTAATATTTACCCATTAAGTTTATGTTTCTTGACTAAAATATGTTTAGGTGTAACAGATGAACTGTAAGCTAGACTGACAAGTAACGGAAATAGAATAACAAGCCAGGTTTTGACTTCAATTGGAATTGTGGACAGCTTTTCTATTCCACCAACCCTAAAGCAAAGTTAGAAAGAAAACTATTTCTATAGTCTGAATCATTTATTAAAGGTTCCATATAGCATCCTGAAGGTTCATTTATTTTATGCCTTTAGGGCAGCGGTTCGCTAATGTTTTTTAGACCCCCGTTCTGGATACACAGCTATCACTGGCCTGCACATACAAGACATGTAGCATTGCTCTGACCATATAACAGCAAACCCTTTAAGTGGGCGTAGGATTAATTGTGAACTGTGATTGGCACATATTTAATTTAATAACATTTACTATTTTTAAACAGATATTTCTTTTTATTACATTTGGCCAAAACACATTTAATAATTTGACAAAATGAAAAATTACTAGGTAGTATAAATTCTACAGTGAAAATGAAAGGAAAACAAGAAAAAAGAAAAGAACATTAAAGAAAGAGAGAAGAATTGACAAAGAAAGAAAGAAAGAAAAACAAGAGTGTGAGACATTTATCTCTGTGTGTTTACGAAAAGAAGCAGGTCGTGTTGTGGACTGTAAGCTGTTTAACATGCAGCTCAGCACACTGGTTTATTGGCCATGGAACTCTGGGGAACAAATAAAGAAAGATTTAAGGACATATTATCACCTTTAAATCAGCAGCTAAAATGTAATGGACAGCAGATAGCTTGTTCTACCACTCAGAAGAAAGAGGGAGCATTTTGTACCTGATTTATCATCACTACTCTGAGTACTGCATTAGCTGGTAGATTGGTTAATAAATGTTCAGAGCACTGTAACTGATACATTTACATACTGTACATTTAATATCAACAATAATGTTACAATTAACATTACTATTTTTGAATAACGCTAACATTATAATATAGATTTTTTCATGTTTATATCTATAACTAATATCTATATATACTTGTTTATTGTTACAAACTCTTAAAGGTTACTACACATGAATGGTGGAATACAAGCATGTTTGCTTGATAACACCAATTTATCACTCTGTATCTGTGCCACACACATTCGCTCCATTTTATCTCTCCTCTTCAACCGCTGGCCCAATTGGCCTGATAGTTACACTGACCACTGGGCCATTTTCTCTGTAAATCCATAACTGACAAAAATCCAGCTAAGCGAAAAGGATTTCTTCAGGGTGAACAAAATGATTGAACTAAATGTATGGAATGATTATAGCAATGTGGAATACTTTACTAAACAAATTCCCTCCTTACCCCAAATGTAGTCAGCTATAGCACATCTGACTTTTTTTGTTTCTTTAGTATTGTACTGGTTTATAAGGCTGATGAAGCTAACAAATAATGGAAGTCTGTCTCACCCAGAGTTTCTTCTGTAAATGTGAGGCAGTCTGGGAAAACCCATCAGATGTCACTGTGGCTAAATTCTGCTAGTTTGTTAAAGCTAGTTTAACAAACACAGCGGTAAATGCAGTCTGTTTGTCTATAGATGTCTAAAACCTTGCTAGCTAAGCGTGATTTCCTCACGCAGTGAATGTCACGCTTTGAATAAACTGTTGCATAGCAAAATAATGTGCCGTGGCAAAATAGACAAGTCTAATCAGCTCAATTTGTGATCAGATACCGGCTATCAAAATGCTCCAAATGATGCTCCTGAGCCATCACATCATCATCAAAACAGAGAAGAGCGGTTCCACACTCATTTCAGATGACAGTGGACAAAGACTCAAATGTTTAAAAGACCTAATAATGAGATTAATAAAAGGAAATTTAGTCAACAGAACAGAACTAAGTGAATTAATCAGTGATTGTTTCGTATTAGTTTACTTCTGAATAAGACGCAAGCAAAAGGAAAACATATTTTCATACCGCCACACTTCTTCAGTTGTTCAGTGATCGCAAACAGATGCTGATGAGGTTTAGGACAAAGTGTGACTTATTGTAATCTATAAATATGAATAAAACTCCACAGTGTTGCTGAATGCTGCAATGTTTTGGGGCAGCCATCTTGAATAACTTTTTTATTAGTGCAAATAATTATTATTCTGTCCCTTAGGGAAATTTTGAAGGCAGAATTATACCAGTAAACTGGAGGTGATACAGCTGATAATATAGATTTGCTTTGAACTTAAATTTGTAAATATGGATTTTACGAAAGTATTTTAAAATTTAGTTTATGTCACTTAACTATATACTGTATTTTGCACAAGTGTATGAAAATCTGCACATGTATTAATGGAAAAGATACTGAGTGACATAGACTTCCATTATTTGTAACTACAGAAGCAAACTTTGGATGCCATATCTGTTCATTGTAAAGAGGAAATTTCTTTTTTTTGTCTCTATCATTCCTTTAATGAATGAAGTTAAAACTACTCCATGGTTTCTGCACAAGCACTGCGGGTGAATATAAAACACAAGTATATGAAGTGTAGCAGAATGTGTTTGTATTAAACATGAAACAATGAGCAAATACAGTAATGTGCATCTGTTTATAATATTTTTTGAAGATTAGGGGCAAATAGGCAATTGTTGTGAAGCAGTAAGTGTGTAGAGCTCTAAAATGATGTAAATTGCAGGACATAATTATATAATAATGAATAATAATTAGAATAGTAATTCACCGCATCAGCAGTGAGTAGGCTGTTAGTCTTGGATGAACAACATTTGATTTCATATTGAGAGCTCCAAATCTCTTTACTGTGTTTTTTTTAAAGGTCTAAATGGCTTTAGCACCTTCAGCCATTGGTTAATGCCTGCCAGACTGCATTTCAAATGGAGTTTCAAGACCATCAAGTGCTGCATTACAGAACATCCCAAGAGTTAAACACCAGAAATTCAGTCAAGGGCCTTTTGTTTTAATTCTAAGAAAAACAGCCTTAAACCTATTATTTTACCATAGCATTGTTTAGTTAGCTTTATTTATATTTCTATGGTTTTACTTTTTGGTTTTTGACTTTCATGCTGCATGTCTTACTTACATTATACCTGTTTAACCACAGTGCTGTTGTATTCTCAAATCTGATTGGTCAGAAGGTGGTTTATATTAATGCACTCATTCTAATATATTATTATTTCTATAGTAACTGCTCATTCACAGGGACATGTATGACAGGCACTCCACATAATATAAGACTAATAATGATTTCAGTCTTCAGAAAAGTGTTCTTCAGAATCATACACAGGTTTTTGTCAATTGCTGTCTGTGTGTCTGTGTGCTTTTCCTACAAAAAAGGCATAAAAACTATTTAAAATTGGAATAATTAACATAAAAAATGCACAACAGTGTATAACAAAAATATAAAGAAATCCTTCAAGGCAAATTTGCTTTAGAAATAATCAGATAAAAAGTTTCTAAAACTAAAAAAAATATTCTAAAGGGCAGTAAACAGTAAGGAAATCAGCTGGGAGGTTGTTTCTTACATTTTAGAGAACTTGCCATGGTTCTTTTGCACACTTTGGCTCTAGCTTGCTTTAGTATCAGTAGATCTTGGACACACTAGATGTTGTTTTTATCTGAAAATTACTATTGTGATATTTCTTTTCTGGGATATTATATTGATATTTCTGGGAACATATTTCCTTTTCTGAGTCAGTACTTCTTGGAGTGGAGATAATGTTGACACGTTTCCCTTATCCTCATATGCCCCCAAGACCACTGTATGTTTGTGGTCTCACACTAGTGTATTAAATAATATGCTGAAATAATACATATTTAATGGTCTGTCAGTATCACTGACTAAAGTGTCACACTATTTTTTGACTTTTAATTTTTCTGGTTAATTCTATGAGCTATGATTGAGAAATAATTCATATACAATCATAACATGTCTTAATAATATCACCAATGATAACTATGGCTTATAAAAAAGACATATTATCCTAGCCTTATATTATGTATATTACTATATTATGTGTGTACAAATGTGTGTATTGCATACTGCCCAACTACTCAAATTGACTGAGTGCGCAACAGTCAAGTTGAGAAGATGGGCAGTAGGCAATACACACATTTGTCTTAATAAGCTATTATCAGGTAGCTCTTGCCCACTGCACTTACCTCTGGTGAGAAAAAAAAATCCCAGCATTCAGTTTGTATCTCCATTATCCTCACACACAACAGACCTGTTCTTATTTACTGTCAGTGCATTTACTCTTGTTGGTGAGGAATAGTGCTACATGGTCTTAGTGACATTTTTAGAAAGTGTCTGGAAAGGTTTGTGTCGCAAGCTATTATATAAGAGATTTTAACAGGCTACACTTACAAAAAGCAGCGAGGACATGTCTCCCTAGCATAAATCACACCTAGCATTAAGGTAACACTTCATTATTTCCTGACAATACATTGATTTAGACCATTTTACTTGATTGGTATGAAGGTTGTTGATTATTTATCCATAACAGCAAGGCAAGGCAAATCAGGTTTATATAAATGCACTTGTTCTAATACATTATTGTTTCTATGGT